CTATTTTCATCATTTTAGAGTAATTAAATGAAGACATCAGTACTGCATCTATTCATAGAGTTAGCAATTTAACTGAAAAACACTGTCTGTGTCTACACTGGCCATTTTATCAGAAACACCTACCGTATAGGTGCACTATAGGTCTACAATTACCTATAGTGCATCTATATGTATGGCTGTATCTGTAGCACGTCTAATACTGCACAATTTATCAGCCTCCCACAGTAGGACCACCACTAATCACACAGTACTTGAGTGGTGGACCACTGGCATTTTAGCATTGCTGTAGTTTGTAAACACTATATACACTTACTGGCCAGTTTATTGGAAACACCTTACTTGGTCTTGCTTCTTCCATTCACAGTTTGTGTTAGCTTTTCTTTAGCCCTTCATCAATGTTCATGTTTGGTGGATAATATCTGGTCAGTAGTGGTCAATATCCAATGATGGATGGGGTAGAATGGGGATGATAAGCCCTCAGCAACAGATGAGCTCCAGTCAGTAACTGTAACCCTGTATGGCAGGTGTTTATAGCAATGAGTGTATATACAAGGTACCTAATAAGCTGGCAAATTCATTTATAATATATGCAATTATGTAGTGATCAAAAAGTGAAAAATAAATCAAAACTATCAGAGATTCTTTGAAGTATTGCCTTGCCTTGCCTTGAGGCAGCTCTTATCATTCTCTAAAGTAGCATCACAAGGAACCCACTGAGACGCCTCTTCAACAGTCCTTAAGAGTCCCTTTGCTGCAGTAACAGCTTCTACTCTTCCAGGAAGGCTTAACAGTCTATGTTGGAACATTGCTATGAGGATTTGACTGCATTCAGCCACAAGAGCAGTAGTGAGGTCAGTTACTGATCTTGGATGACCAGTTCTGGATCTCCAACTCATCCCAGAGTTATTGGATGGAGCTCCATCACTCCAGAGAAGGCAGGTCCACTGCTCCACAGCCCAGTGCTGCGGGCTTTATACCCCCATTGGACATATTGGGCTTCATTCTCCAATCGTTCTTAAGAAGAAATTTCTTAAAACCCACTTTATACAGTTTTCACAAAGATTCTGATATTCACCAGTGTTTCTTATTTCTTATCTACACACACTCAAGAGCACAAAGGAGCGAACAGTTCTGTGCTTTTAGAACACGTCATGAATCTGACGTAGACTTATTCCTAGCATCTTTCTCAAGAACACATTTAAGGAAAAACTTAGAAATGCATTATTGAATGAGGCCTGATGACCCTAGATCAGGGGTCGGCAACCCAAATGTTAAGAAGAGCCATTTTGTCAAGTTTTAACAAAAATCTAACCACCTTCGGAGCCACAACATTTTATGTCCATTTTATTGAAGTAACGTTTCACCATCTTGGCTGTAAATATGTCTCAGAATGTGCTGACGTACCAGTATAGGCTAGAAAATATAATGTAAACGAAAATGCAGACTTGCTTCGCTCTACTTGCTTTAGCTCAGATATAGCTGCTTTTCTCCCATCTCCGGCAGGAAACTTTTCCTCAAAAGTAGAACAGTTTCTTGCAAAACGTCTCTCAACGTTTGACTTTTTAACGAGGCTGAAGTTGCTTCTCATTCACCAGCTTTCATTCCACCTTAAATGGTGCCTGATGCACCAGAATGTAGCGAACTATATAGCCAACATTCGCACCATTTATGGTGGAATGTGAAAATTCATACCAGAAGCTGGCGAATGAGAAACTGACTTCAGCTTCACGACTTTTCAGTGTTTGACAGTTTATCGCTGCAGATTAAACATATCAGGAAACCAGCTGGAGTGAATAGAAATGCAAATAAATCCATTCGTCTCCAAATTATCAATGCCCGTCCTCAAGGCTGTTGTCTGCATTGCTATGGTGACCAGCAGTCTGCATGCCAACCTTCAGAGTTAAAGGGTGAACTAGCAGTTCTACATTAACTCCAGAGTTTAAGACCATTTATTGTTAAACTGTGTTGAACGATCAGCAGAGCTTTATTTTACTGTAAAGGAGGATTATTTTAATTTTACCTACAAATCTGATTCTGCTGTGGAGCCACAACAGGACAGTAAAAGAGCTGCATTTGGCTCTGGAGCCATGTGTTGCAGACCCCCTGCCCTAGGCTCATGTGTGACTACTCCAGAGTCCCATTCAACTGGTCAACACTGTTCTATTGAAATGACACAAGATGCGTATCACCTGAGAGTAGCTGAATTAAAAGGGCTGTCTTTTTTTCACACTTTTGGACTGTATCTCACATGATCAGTCTAATTTGCCCATATTACTATTCCAGACTACAGAATTGAGAGAAGTTCTTCTCTAGAGTAAAACTGACCCCCAGCTCCCCCACCACTTTGCAAAATATCTCTCCTGGTTGAGTGAGGAGTGAGAGACAAAAGGAAGAGAGGAAGAAAAGGGACTGTGAGTGTGTGTGTGTGGAGGTATTGTCACTGCTCCGGCTACACACTTCCTCCTCTTCAGCTGCTTCAGCCAGTCACTTGTGAGAAAAGGTGAACAGTGGAGAAAAAGAGGCTGTGAATTGTGTGATTTATGGCTGTGCGCAGGCGAACAAAGACACGTTTCCCACCGGCGCCTGGTCCAGACGCCCTTCCGAAATGTTCACAGTGTTTGTTTGTGTTGGGGGGGGGACTCAGGTGGAGTGAATTACAATTAAGACGACTTAGTGGTGAGAAATGACGGGGGAGTGGAAGCGAGAGAGACTGAGAGACAGAGAGAGAAAGAGAGAGAGAGCGCAAAGTGACAGAATGAAACATGCAGGCTGTGATAGGATGTTAGGGTGTGTGGAGATGTGTTTAAGAGTGAGCTCATGGGAAAGGATGGGAAGTTTCTCTGTCTACCACACAGAGGAGGACAGAACACAGATATGTACACTCATACAGGTTTGTTTTCATACAGCGTCTGGACGTGGGGTCCCATATGTATTATATACACATGTAAGTAGCTACATGGCCCATATGTGTATGTGTATATATTGTTTCTATGCTCATTGTCCATTTTATCAGCTCCACTAACTATATAGGTGCACTTTGTAGTTCTACAGTTACAGACTGTAGTCCATCTGTTTCTCTGATACTTTGTTAGCCCCCTTTTACCCTGTTCTTCAGTGGTCAGGACCCCCATGGACCCTCACAGAGCAGGTACTGTTTGGGTGGTGGGTCATTCTCAGCACTGCAGTAACACTGACGTGGTGGTGGCGTGTAAGTGTGTGTTGTATCCAGCCACCAGTGTCCTGTGGGCAGCGTCCTGTGACCACTGATGAAGGACTAGAGGATGACCAACACAAACTGTGCAGCAGCAGATGAGCTATCCTCTCTGACTTTACATCTACAAGATGGACTGACAAGGTTGGAGTGTCTAATAGAGTGGACAGTGAGTGGACACAGTGTTTAAAAACTCCAGCAGCACTGCTGTGTCTGATCCACTCAGACCAGCGCAACACACACTAACACACCACCACCACGTCAGTGTTACTGCAGTGCTGAGAATGATCCACCACCCAAATAGTACCTGCTCTGTGAGGGTCCATGGGGGTCCTGACCACTGAAGAACAGGGTAAAAGGGGGCTAACAAAGTATGCAAAGTAAGTGGAGCTGATAAAATGGACAATAATGTTATGCCTGATTAGTGTATATATACACATAGTATTCATATAGTTGTTATTATATAGTATTGATATTTAAGTAGCATAATAATAATAATAATAACAACAACAACAAAACATGTCAAAACATGTTGTCCCATATGAATTACGTGCATATGGAAGTATCTATATCTATATATCTATATATATATATATATATATATATATATATATATATATATATATATATATATATATATATACACACACACAAAAGAACAACGTTCCATTTGTATCATATATGTGAAAATGTACCGTCTTGTTCCGCATACTTGCTGTACTGTGTTATTTGGCCTTGAGCCAGGCTTATTACTGCTGTTTATTGATTGTACTTGGAGTTTTACTACACTGGATGTCTAATTGCACTTTATATAGTTTATGTGTTTCTGATTTGTCCTGCGTGGTCCTGTAAACTCTGGACACGTGCACATGTTACCCCAAGTAACACTTTCATTTCACTGTATATTACTATACGGCTGCAAGGACAAAGTTCTTCTTGATCTTGAGAAACATTTATCCTGAAAACGTTTGAAAACAAACACATATACACACACCCTCAGACATGCAGGGTCCCTGACGTGTGAACACCCCTGCCTCAGCCCACTGGTTTATTCCAGCCTGCTGTCAGATGCCTGGGGCTGTTACATTGAGAGGCACAGAAGGGGGGTGAGAGAAACCCTTCAGCACATTAGGCTACATTTAGGAGATTGATCCAGACAGACTGAGTATCCCAGCAGTGTTCTCTTCAAGTCTCTTCACATTACATATGGAAATGTTCATGGAAATAAAGAAAAACACTGCGGTACTGGGAAAAAAAGTGGTTCAAAGCATAGAAAAGCAGCTGATACGTGCCAATACACCCAAAAAAGCCCTCTGTCTGTTTTCCCAGCCATTTTCGTTTTTTGTGACAAGTGTTTTGATGTGTTTTTGGAATCAGTAATAGATACTGTGAAGCATAGTTCATGACACTCAGTTTACCACCTTTACCTCTCCAAAGTAATGCTGTTTAGCCTCCCCTAAAAATGAGTCACCAAAAATAAAAGCCTCTAAAAGTAAGAAAAAAAATGTAGTTCGCTAAAAGCGGCCCATTTATTATGTCTCAAAAGAGCACGCAAGAGCAATAAACTGGAAAAGAAAGCAGAAAGCAGTGTAGCCATGAACACCGGCCTCCTCTTATCTGTTTGGCTGTGAGCCTTGACAAAACAGAATGACCTCTCATTTTTCCCCGCTGAGACAAAAACATACAAACAAGTGAACTGCACCAAATCAAGTTATTCATTAAACCAATTCAATGCAACCACCCACCCCTCCCCGAATCACTCCAATCTAATAAATAATCTTTTGTTTACCTTCTCCAAGGACTCGCTCGTTTGAAGCCGTCTTCAGTTACGACGCTGGGAGTTTAGCCTTCTCGCTCTGAGGGGAGACACAAACACAAACGATCGCTTATGAATGAATAATTACTGCACGCAGCCAGAAAACACCTGTCAGCGCTGAGTTCCATCAGGGAGATAATAGTGCCAACCCGCTCAGCTGAGGGTGGCAAAGCATCATAAAGCCGCAGGTGATGTGACGAGACGTCATAGTACATGTAGAGCGCAGTTCATGATCACAGGGGATGTATTTTTACAGAGTTTAAGTCTGTGTTGGGGTGGGCAATATGACACTACGCTGATATTGTTATGATGATAAATGATGTCATGATAAGCCATTTGTCAGTGAGTGAAGACACTGATCAACTGCATGCTTCAGTAAATCGCTGCTGTCGGAAGAAAACCTTGTGTATCTATTATTGACGTCTTTCAGTTTTTGACATGATTTGTAAATGCCTGTTGTCCTCTACATTATGTGTACATTTCATGATGAATGGACCAAAAGAAACGACCCAAATGACTTGGGAAAAAAGTCTGGTTCCACTGACTTACATTAAAAGTAAAGTAGGTTTTTTCCTTCTCCTGTAAAGTTACCATTTTGGAGATATGAGGTTTTTTTCCAACAACAGCGAAATGCAATGTGAAATGGAAAAAAACTGTGCATTTTCTTCCACATCACGATGTATTTGTGAGTGAAACTAGGTATCAGGTAAGGCCTCTGAGCTAGCTAAGTGATGATGGGGAAGATGGGAGTGGGAGGGAAATATGTAACATAATATATCGATATTGCTTGTTAATGTTATTTTTTCCCACCCACTCGTGCACAATGACAATCAAAAATCAGAAGATGTTTTAAAGAACAGGCAAAAGTCAATATATTTTGACTGAAGATTACAAAAAAAAAACAAAAAAAAAAACAATGGTACAATATGATGAATTGTGTTTGGCATGAATTAACAAGGTAAAAAGATCCATTTTGATTTTAAACTTTAACAAGAGTTTTAACAGAGGATCTCGTGTTCTCTATGATGTGTATATTCATTCTAATAATTCTAATACGCCTCTGCATGGCATAAGTGACAAAGAAAGTTTTGTCGTTTCAGCGCCCATGTTAACCTGTTAGAGTGTTAAACAGCCTACGCAAGAGATGCATCCCAGAAATTTTCAGTAAAATCAACTACGAAGCAAAACGAAAGCGACAAGCTCTTTCACAATTTTTGCTTTTACTGGGTAAAGTAAGGCCCAATCCCATTTCACCCCTCTCCCCTACCACTCAGCCCATACCCCTCTGTTTTGCACATTCACGCCTAGGGGTAGGATGTCCCGATTCTTGTTGAAATAGAGGGGTAGGGCGAAGTGTTAGGGCTACATGGCCCTCCAAACGGAGGGTTTTCAGAGCATTTTCTCCTTTAAAAAATTACAATAACCATTGAATTATCTTAGTTTAATGTTGTTTCAATGCATCATAATCCCTTTCTTCACAACAAGCATTAAAAATCGCTAATAGTATGCTAATGTCTTTGTAGCTAGCTAACTAAATTTCCCGTTCCACCTTAAATAGTCCAGCAGTACTGACGCCAGGAAAATTCAAATGTCTGACTTCAGCTTCATATCACAGAAGAATTAGGGGTGGGTGATAACAAATAATTGCCCCTCTTTGAAAGCATATGATGCCCTAAATGTAACTAAAGCCCAGCAGTGAGGAGCTGAACTTTACCCTCCTCTGCTGTCACTGCAGACTGGCAGGGTCGCCTACAGAGCAGCACTGGTAGCTGTTAATGAAGTGATGCTCTTTTTATTTGAGGGTCCCATTTCAGAGGGAATATTTCAACCACCACCTGTTGTACCTGAGTTCCAAGGGGCAAAGAGACACTTGAAAACAAGGGGTAGGGGTAAAAATAAGAAATGGGATTGGGCCTTAGTGATTAGAATATTTATCCACACGGAAAAAAGGATGTTTGTAGAACTTTCAAGCTATGACAAAAAGCCCACTATTTCACAGCTCGAACACTGCAGAGATTCTTAGAGGAATATGGACCCATACTTAAGTAAATATATGGTTAGTTCAGAAAATAACAACTCAAGCAAAAAAGTAAAAATACTTTCCAAAAAAACAAAAGGAGCAGCTCACAAATACTGGTGTAAAATAAAATGCTAAAGCTTAAAGTAAGAGCTGTGACCAATCACAAAGCAGTACAGACACCAACAACAAGGTAACAGTCAAATGCACTGAACACAGAGAATTAGTAACTAAATGTTAAAGCTAAAATGTGAGTAAAAGTGAAACTAAAAGTGGATTGAATTGAAAATACTCCATCTGAATCGTACTTGTGTAAATGTAACTAAGTATGTGTAACTACTATGTGAGATAGAGGCCTAAAGGTTCACTCTGTTGTTGCCAGCTTGCGAGTTCAAATCCCAGAAGAGCTTAATTGGTCCTGTTTAATTGGATGTAGTGATGCGCAGTAAAACACTGAATTAAAAATCATTGCACTCATAACTTTGATAGCATGTGGACTTACTGGTGCATTTTCAGCTTCAAACCGCAGAAAAATTAATTATCATGTTTAGGAGCACAAAATACTGGAATTGTGGGCTGCTATTAATATCTGATATTTCAGATATACATATCTGCTGATACAGATACATAAACATGTATAAAATGTAGAATTGGGACTACCTGGATTAGCATTACAGAGAAATAACACTGCAGTAAAATGAATAAAATGCAGTTTTTTTAGCACAGTAACCAAGCGTCGCTTAAACATTCTGCTCTTCTGGACTGGGTTGCACCAGGTTTGTGTATGTTTATACTTAAGTTTGTGCGTAAAATCTTTACGATGTCCTTAGTTACACTAGTGAGTTTCAAACTGCCCTTGTATTAAATTTGGTTGCACAGCAAAGCCGTAAGTCATGTCTTAACTAGTAACAACTAACCAATGCGTACGTCGCTTTAACTTGACGTAAACATGTTCAGAACCAATCAGTAAACCTGCACCCATTGAAACGTGATGGCAGTTAGCGCTGAGTTTTTCAATGGAAAAAAAAATAAGCATGCAGCTTTTTAAACATGCAGCTTTTTAAACGACAGTTTCTTGATAAACGACACAACAGCAGATCAGTTTAGCCATTTGGGCTGCTGAGTCTCACTGAGCTGGAGCTGTGGGTGTTTAGCTTCATGGTCGGAGTTTAAACCAGGGCGATGATTACAGCTGTAAGTAAAGTCCCAGTGTACAGCGTTTACAAGTTTTTAACCAAAAAAGTCATGTATTTCTTGTTTTTTTTTTTTTGCTTGATTATTTGCCTTGACGTTTACTTGCGACGACTGAACATGTACCAAAATTTAAAAATAACGGTTTTTGCATAACAGCACCAGCAACCGCAGCATCATCCAAGAAAAGGACAGAAAAATAGTTTGATCTCGCCTGAACCAAAATCGAGCAAGATATCCACATCTTCATAGTTATCTAAAGGACACAGCCTGTCTCTTAACACCTGACGACGAAAGTCATTCTTGTAACCCCACTCGAAGCGCTCCAAACAAGCCATATTTTGGTTGCTGTGGGTTTCGTCACAACTTGCACCTGATTTGGGGGAGGTGTAAATATGTAGTATCTACTAGCCCTGACGTACAAACTAATCTGTGTGGTGCAACCAGCCTACGTTTGATCTTACGTGCGGCTGGTGAAACCGGCCACTGGAGTACACATCAAGAACATGTCATCAAATATAGGTTTGAAATATCAGTCAAATATAAATGTCTTTTTCCACGATGATATGCTGATTTTTAACATTTTTAAGTAATTACCAGCCAATTTTTAATTTTTTTAAGCAATTATTTTCTCCTACTGTTATGTTTCCTCTATAATCTTGCATCCTTAATGTGTCACGAATCATGAAAACGTCTTCAAGTATCTTTTTGATATATTTCTTCTCAGTGAAAAACGTTGAGAAACAATGCCTGGTTGTTAAAGATTTGCCAGCGACCTTCAACGTCAACAGGTATTCATATCCCGGTGAACAGCGGACAGGCCTGTCTCAAAGCGAGCCTTCTTTTGAAGAATTATGGTATCACATTGAACCAAAACACAGAAACTCGTTGCTGGACTGGAGCTTTTTATTATCAATGTTGCAGAGTGTCTTTCCAAGAGGGGCAAATCAATAAAGCGCCTAAAAAAAAGCCCTTGAGTTGCTTCTCAGAGAAAACAGAGCGAGACTACGGTCACGCTGAATGGAGATATAAACTTCAACATGAGAAAAGAACCTTGTCAGTTGTGTATGTGTGCGTACAGAACTGCTTTAGTGAGTGTCAGTGTGGACCGCAAGTATGATACTAATTCAGCTCTATTCAGTTGTGGACAGTCAGTCTCTCTCTGACTACAATGGACAACAGCAGAATTATCTCACTCTAACGGCTCTTTTAATCTACTAGCTACTTGCGGCAATATGAAAATAGGTCATTTATCTTCCCCATCTCTTATAACTTTATATCACACGGCCAGCGAGGGAGGTTAGGGTGCAAAAGAACAAAATAAACAAATAAAAAAAGCTGATCAATGCCTTGCAAGATGCTTGGAGCTCACAAAGGCTTTACATACCCAAACCTTATTCTTATGCTAAACTTCAGAGTGACTATAGGCCAATATTTGAGAGCCATTTGAATGAAAGCATCAAAGCATATCCAAATATGAAAAAAATAGATCAGGTCTTTCACAATGCGCCGTCATGCAGTTTACATTTGGCAGTCAAAGCAGCGGCCGGGCGTTTTAGGCCGGGCGACTGTGTTTATCTCAGGTGAAGTGGAAGACACGTCAGCACAGTCGGGCCACGTTTTAGCATCGCTTATCTGTTCAACATCCTTACAGAGAAGCCAGAGTTGGACCGACACAAAGGCCACCGACTGCAAGCGTACACACATCTCTCCTTTTGTTTTTCCACCAGTGATATTTTCCCTGTTCCTCCAATTCATTAGACTTCAATTAACATATCATCACGGCTGTCGTAAATCAATAGCCCTGCGTGACACATGACAAATCTTTTCAG